AAATTTTTAGCAAAAACACTGAGAACGCTTACCAATTCATCAATATCTAATTTGACACAGGTAGCGATACAAAGAATATTTTCAAGATCTTCGTCCAAATTTTTTCGTTCTCATTTTATTTTTGGCATTCAACGTGTTAATTGTTTATTCACCTCGCGATACAACGTATCAGCTATTTCTCTACGTAGTCGCCGCAATGTCGATCGGGACACACAAGTTTTTCTATTTCCTCGTCGAAAAAAATTCCAAGTCCCGGAGTCTTGAGTCGCGCGTCCGACATTTTTCGCTTTGCGAGCTCGAAAAGAACGCAAAGAGTCGCAAAGGTGACACGGAGGATGTTGCCACGCTTCCCACTGAAATTTTCGCAACAGGTCTTCGACATCGAACGAAATGCCACAATATCACAAACAGCTTGGCGGGATATCATGTTCCGATCGTGAAACGTCGCACGATGATAATAATGACGCGACGAAAGACTTCAGTATTCTTCAGAATCGGAAACACTTTTTTTCCCCCGTAGGGGAACAAAGTGACAGCACGGTTCTTCAATTTGAACGCTGCATCTTCTAGTCTGGCGCGCCGTGCTTTACGACTGACGATCAGAGTGGAGGTGTTAAACGTTTTCTTCTATCAAGTTTCATCGAAAATATCATATAAATCTTTAATTCGTCTCTTTTCGACACTCGTCGGAAATGACATCGCGATGAATCGCGGCGACACACAAAAAGTTACGACACACAAGCGAGCGAGCGAACTTACTCATCGACTCGGCCCGATGATCGAAAGAATCAAACGTCCGATTCGCAGATTCGTCGTCGTCGTCGTCGTCGTCGTCGTCGTCGTCGGCGACGGCGATGAGATTAAAATAGGAAGAACTCGGCAATTCGAATGAAACGTTTGTCTATTTCAGAACCGAAACGGCGTTTGCATACTCGATTCGACCGTCGCCGGCCGAAAATAGATCCACGGGAAACCACTAGCTCTGCCGCTAGACAGAATTGTATGCTATATTGATAAATCACCGGGGCCGCCGGTTACATCGTTATCGCGAGCGTAACGTTCCCCGTTCGATCGGGAGAGCCAGCAGCAGCAGGCGGTAGCTGGCTTCGATTTCTCTGTTGGAAACAACAAAACACGGCGCGTCCCGTACGCGTTACGAAGGCGAGACACCAGTATATTCACTCTATTCAAACGGTTGTATTCGACGGGAGAGAAAGTTGAAAGAAATCGACGACGTCGAGGGTGAGAATTTAGACGACGATGATCACGGTGGCGATCGAGGTATCTGTGTGGTATCGTCGTCGCTGGCAGAGAGGCACCGGGTGTTAACGGTCGAGGCTCAACAACCCCCTCCGCCCCCCCCCCCCAATCGATAATATACGATCCTGCATGATTCTGCTTCGCGTATCACAATGGCCCTCTGGGCAACCTATTCTACGAGCCATCCTGGCAGAGCCTCTAGCTGCTCTCTGCGCGTGTAGCGGCCATCTACCGGTCGCCAGTCTCCCAGCTTGCGGTAGATAATGAGCGATTAGGTAATTAGTTGTCCGATATTCCGTCCGTCCTGCTCCCCGAACTCTCCCCGGCTGGCTATCCTCTCTCGCTCTCCTAGTGAAGTGTCTTGTCGATACTCTCGCCATCGTTTGAAACTTCGCGACGCGTCCCGTGTTGGAGAAACTTGGACTCGGACTCGGTAAAACTCTGTAACTCGACCCGAGAAAATCGTATGCACGAATACGTCCGTTTCGAGGTAATATCGATCGGCGGAGAAACGAGGGGTTGCCACTCGTCTCTCGTCGTCCGAAAAAGCGCGGCGCTGTCCCTTCGACGTGTCGCGCGAGCCAACCCTACGCCACCCTCCCCTCCCCCGTTTATAAATGTAACAATTAAGCGTACGAGGGTCGCCGACGCGACAACGAAAGAGGAGAAGAGAAAGTAGCTCTCTCTGTCGCTAGCGATCGCGCTACAAGTAGGGGTACATCGAAGGGAGAAAGATAGATTAGATCCTTTGGCGGTTGACTTATCAGACTATATAGGCGACTACGCCTGCTGATATTTCGAAAAACGAATTTTACAAAAATACAAAGTACTCGAGTAGAATGTGTACATACACGTGAATCGAAAGGTAAAAAATACTCGAGTAGAATGTGTACATACACGTGAATCGAAAGGTAAAAATACCTGGCGACGAGTCGTTTCGTTTTTGACAAAGGCAAAGGCATCTTCCATCTGCGTACACGTGAACACAGTGCAACAATTCGGAAAAATATACGTAGGAAACGTAACGGAAGAAGAGAGACGCGACGTAGAATTATGTAATTGACCACACTTTACTAGATAATAAATAAAGGTCAAAGCTACTGTCGAATTTTTAGCAGGTGCGCCGACGAAAATTCAGCGTATGTTTCAACATACTTCCAGCGAAATCCGACGAAAGATTTCGTAAATGAATCCTCGCGATCTAACCACCGTATGCTGCCGCGTGTGCGTGTCAAAGTCTGCCGTGGCGAAAGGGCGAACGAAATTGGTCAGAGAGTTTAAACTGGATTAAATTCGACGAGAAAGTGGGTCGAAAGCGGGGGAATGAAAAGAAATGGGGAAGCGGTCCGCAAAGACAAAGGAGAACGGAGTGAGAGACAGAAAGAGAGAGAGAGAGAGAGAGAGAGAGAGAGAGAGAGAGAGAGAGAGTGAAACGTCGATGAAATGAAAGAAAAGCGGCGAGGAGCGAACGTGGGCGAGGGAAGTTAATTCGCGAAAGCGGCGAGACGAATTAAACGCGTGCGGGTTAACGCGCGACAGAATCGTCACTCGGGTCGACTCGCTCGGACGGATGGTTGAGCCGGTCGTAACCATTTAAATGCCCGCCGCTGGATAAATTGTTGCATTAGTCACGGCAAGTTTATATTAATACGCTCGAACGTTTCTGTCGAAAGAGGCGGGGGAGAGGGGCCGTCGATGGCCGCGAGTTTGCTTCGTTGTCGCGAACCGTCTGTCCGTCACTCGTCACTTATCATTTGTCACACGATCGAGCGCTGAAAATTTGGCGCCTCGTCGCTCTGCCCTCTTCGAATCCCTCGCGCCCAACGATTATTTTCCTCGGAGTTGGCCGCTTCGATCGAAAACTCGGCGAAAAAATCGAGGAGAGTTAACACGCTTAACGCGGCGGAAGGTTTCCTGGAATGTGCAAGAGAAGAATCTAAAATCTAACCTCCAATTGTAAATAACAGGTGCTTCGGTTCACGAATGTTGTAATTAGTATAATATCATCTTTGTTTCTATAGTCGTTAAGGCATGGCGAGTCCATTGGTTAAGCCACCTGCGCTGACGACCGATTGCGGACCATAACGAGTGACCGAACCGTACACAATAATTCGTCGCTTTCTTCTTCTTTCGAACTCGTCGACATTACTGGATAGAAATGATTGAAAAGTAATAAATTTAACATTTGTTTGAAATGTACTTAAAACTGAGAAAATACTGCAATTTTGGGACAAAAAGTTCTCGACGTGCGTGGCAAGAGGTTAAAACAGCCGGTTGGCAAAAGTTTCTAGGTTATGTTGTTCTTTGAAAAACAATTGTACAATTTACAATTGAATTACAAGTGCGTGAGCTTTTATTATCGTGATTCTCCGAAAGTCTCGAGTCAAATTTAACTTATAAGAATGATACAAGAATTTTGCCTGAAATGTTTATGGGGGAGATAAGCTATCCCTAATATCTGTCCTCTCTATATTAGGAACGCGACTTTATTGAAATGTATGCTTCGAATAAACTTGCTGGATTTATAAACAACTAGACGCTAGAAAATATTTAATTAAATGAATTTAATTATGTCTTCGAATCTCCAAACGTTGTTAGAAAGCGTCTCGTCTTTTTTCTGCGCGCACTTCGAGCTACTTTTCGAATTCTGAGAAAGAACCCGATCAGAGCCGATCGGCAGTAATTTGTTTTAAATGTAAATAAACATTTCGTTTACTTTTTATGAGTTCCCTTTTGTAACGAGAATGTGAGAACATTTTTATTTTTATTGTTATCTGTTATCGAGGTGCAATCATTTGACTGAAACAACGAAACAATTTCATTTGAAGCAGAATCGTGAAATATTTATGTTTTAATTTGTAATTTCAAGTTTCAAATCATGTTGCAGCTTTTGGTTTAAAATAAAGCAATTATAATTGACATCTTTATTGTTATAAAACATTGCTCTAATTTTGAGGACCCCTGTACCCTAATAACACGAGAAGATAGCACGTTTCTGTTAATTTGACAATTGGTAAAAAAAAAACTAGCGGTGAGAATAAATGGAATTGTATCACAACGCAATCTGATAATATTTAGAAGTGAAAAGTTTCCAGATTCTTCTATTCAGGTCGAATCTACGAAGCTTCTTAAAAAAAACACCCCATGGTCAAGTATTCTCTCCAATATGGAGAGAGGGCATGTTTTTGTCAGTTGAAAAATTGAGAAGGTAGTGAAGAAGGTAATGAAAATCGACAAAAATCTATCACAAATGAGGCAAACTGACACGCAACATTTAGACGAAAAAATTTTCAAGACTCCGTCCATTTGGGCTAAGCAAAAAAAAAAAAACTCGCGTTAGGCGACTTTCCGACGTCGTTCGTAAAACGGTGGCAAACGGCGAACAACGGAGGAGAACCGGGCGAACAATCGGTGCGTTTAATCGCGTCGTTGCGACAAATCGGGATTGCGTCGCGTCGCCAGCGAATGCCAACGCACTCGGAACATGAACGTACATACGTACGTGCGTGCGTGTTCACACGTGTGAGCGCACGCGGCGACATCACAGCCGCCTGACGTAATATTTTTACGATCGTTCGCTGCAATTTCTCGATGACGGCGTCTTTTATTTCTCCGCTGCGACGACCGGACGTGGATTACGTGGCAAATAAAGATGAGTGGCGCGCGTTCGAGATCGCAACCTTGCGACGCGAAACTGCAACGATATATATCGGCGGCGATCGGCCGGACGGTTTGCTTACCTGCAACGTTAACGCCAGCTCGGTCGTCGTCGTCGGGAATGCCGTTGACAACAGAGCTCCGCCGTTCTCTCCGCGACAGATTCATCGCTCTTCCATCGCGAGTCTATGCGCTGCACGCGACGTCCCTCCTCCCAGCAGCCTTCTGTTCATCAAACGTGCACGAGCGGTCGTTAGCTTTGGTTCTTGAAGAATCGAAAGGAGCAGAGCAAAAGGAATTAGGAAGACACGATACGAGAAAGAATTTTCTTACCGATGCGTGCAACAAGCCGAGGGAGAGAGGGTTATTTCGGACGATTCTCTCTCGATTCTCGGGGAATTTGGCGACGGCGATCGAGAAGAATCGTGGTGGAAGGAAAGGCCGGAGAGACAAAAGTTGGCGGAAAGAAAGAAAGAAAGAAAGAAAGAAAGAAAGAAAGAAAGAAAGAAAGGAAGGAAGAAAGGTAAAAAGAAAGGAAGGAAGAAAGAAAGAAAGAAAGAAAGGGAGAAGGAAGGAGGTACGGGTAGCAATGGTTACAGCAGAATAAACTCCTCAATAATGAGTTCCGCGAGTGAATTCCCCCGGCACGGAGAGGCTCGAGATAATAAAACAGAGCGACTGGGACGCAACCGAGCGACGGTGGTAGTAACGGTAGTTGCGATAGTATTGGTGGAGCAGGGGTGGCGAGAGTGTGGGGGTTGCGCACCGGCAAGAGTAATAGTAAGAGGCAATAAAATATAATGAAATAACATCCAATCCAGGAGAGATATTGTGAAAATATTATTACTAACTTATTACTTGCTGGGCACGGTGCACCACGCTCTCTCTCTCTCTCTCTCTCTCTCTCTCTCTCTCTCTTCCTCTGTGTTTTTCTCCTTTATCCCCCTCTTCCTCCCTTTTTTCTCCCCTTTTCTCCCTTTTTCTCCACTCGGGACCTGCCGCTTCCTCGGCCCCTTGCCTACGCACGTTCTCCTCCACCTCCATCTCCTCCTCCCTCTCCCTCTCTCTCTCTCTCTCTATCCATCTCTCTGCCTTGCGCTCCCTTTCGCTCTCTTCACCTTCCTTGCCGGGCGTTCGTCCTTCCACCCCTTCGTTCAACCGGCTCTTTTCCTCCTCCTCGACCGGAGTAGTCCCGATAAAAATTTCCATTCAACGTCGCCGATATATCTATACCTACACAAGGGGAAGGAGGAGGGAGGGAGGGAAGGGAGCGAACAGGAACACCGTGAGTACACCGTGACAATTTCATACGGCGCGTTTTTCCTCCTGCTCTTGCTCGCGCTCGCGACTTCCCCCTTGCTCTCTCCTCGCGAAAGGAGGCCGCGCACTTCGTAAGACGCGTTTCGCAGAACGGTTCGGACGAGCGAGGCGGTGGTTGGCAATCGGCTCGACGCGGCGCGGCCTATTTGAAATGCAAAGTACACGCTAAGCGGATTATCTGACAGGAAAGATCGGCCAGTCGACGGCGAAGGGGTGGGGTGGGGTGGGGTTGGGGGGGAGGGGGAATAAAAAACTTGGTGATTACGAAGCGAGATATCTCGGGGAGATAGGGGCTAGGCGGTGACGACAGACAGACAGACAGACAGACGGTTATATAAAAGATGGAGAAGTGTGACGCGTATCGTAGCGTGTCGCATCGTATCGTATCGTATCGTATCGTATCGTTGGCGAACGTATTCCACTAGCATGCAGAAACGATAGACCGGTAGAGCAGAAAACCGTGGAGCTGCCGGGCAAAGGAAGAGCGTATTAACGGCTCGAGAGAGCGAAGGAGGAAGAGGCGATCGGCGGCGGAAGGGAGACGCTAACCCGCAACAATCCTATCGGACTGTGTAAATCTCCGGGCGTTGTAACGAAGCGGCAAATCGAAACTAAACGGTAGGCCATGAATGGGAAATCAGAAAATAACGTTACGGCGCGCGAGGCCGCGCACTTCCGGCAGGGACAGAGCCTCGTGCACCGGGGGGAATGTGCCCGCGAACCGCTCGACCGAGTACGATACGTGTGCCTATCTTTTTTTCTCTTCGTTTCTTTTTCCCTTACAACTTCTCCCACTCTCTCTCTCTCTCTCTCTCTCTCTCTCTCTTTTCGTTTAATCTCTTAACTTCTTGCGCTAGAATAACGCGATACGCGCGTCGAGAATTTTTTGGTTTCAAAATTGCAATATTTTTAGTTAGTTTTAAGTATTGTTAAACGTGACCTAGGCAAAACAAATAATAAATTTGTGACTGCTTAGTAATTTCTATCCAGCGATATCATACCGACGAGTTCAAAAAGAAAGCGACAGATTGTTATATACGGTCCGGTCACTCGTTATGGTCCGCAATCAGTCGCCAGCGCAAGTGGTTAAACTAACCTCAAAGTTAAGGGTCCGGAATATATATTATATTTTGACGAATGTCTCGGAAATTACTAGAGGTAATTTATGAGATTTATCACTTTTAAAAAAACACACGACTTTCATGAAATTTTGCATAAATATAAATTTTCGAAAAAGTATTCTTTTTATTGATAATTGTCGATGTTAATCTCTTTTGCTGAAATGACGTCCCACGCACGTCGAGACTTTCTTGACCCAAAATTGCAACATTTTCTCAGTTTTAACTATATTTAAGTATAACCCGGACAAAACAAATAATAAATTCATTACTTGTCCATAATTTCTATTCAGTGATATCATATCGACGAGTTCAAAAGCAAAAGAAAGCGACGAATTGTTGTACGGTTCGGTCACTCGTTATGGTCCGCAATCAGTCGCCAGCGCAAGTGGTTAAACTAACCTCAAAGTTAAGGGTCCGGAATATATATTATATTTTGACGAATATCTCGGAAATTACTAGAGGTAATTTATGAGATTTATCACTTATAAGAAAACACACGACTTTCATGAAATTTTGCATAAATATAAATTTTCGAAAAAGTATTCTTTTTACTGGTAATTGTCGATGTTAATCTCATGCGCTGGAATGACGTACCACGCACGTCGAGAAATTTTTTGTCCCAAAGTTGCAACATTTTCTCAGTTTCAAGTATATTTCAGTATAACGCAGGCAAAACAAATAATAAATTTATTATTTCTCTATCATTTCTATCCAGTGATATCATACCGATGAGTTCAAAAGAAAAAGAAAGCGACGATATTATTGTGTACGGTTCGGTCACTCGTTATGGTCCGCGAACCAGTTACCGCAAAGGGTAAAGTTACTCGTGATATTATTATCTAGTATTTACACATTTATTTACTATTTAATATTTACACATTGATAACTGCTAGTATTTACTATATTATTTATCATTTTCCCTTGCACAACATATCTTACACACTAACCACTTGCGCTGGAATGACGTGTCACGCACGTCGAGAACCTTTTGTCTCAAAATTGCAATATTTTCTCAATTTCAAGTATATTCAAATATAACCCAGGCGAAAAAGATAATAAAACTTGTTACTTCTCAATCATTTCTATCCAGTGGTGTCATACCGACGAGTTCAAGAGAAAAAGAAAGCGACGAATTGTTATGTACGGTTCGGTCACTCGTTACGGTCCGCAATCAATTGCCAGCGCGCAAGTGGTTAAGAAAATTTTTTCTCCGCCGTCTGTCCGAGATTTCGCCGTCTCGCGTTCATTCCCGGATAATTTATTTATTAATTTTCGACGCCAAGAAGGATCCATAGTAGGTGTGTATGTAGACGCGTCGGGGAGAATGAGGAGACGTTAGTTTTGGAAAATTTCGATGCGAGCCGGACGATGGGGCCCCCCGGAACGCAACGGCGGCCATTGTTCGCGTTGGCGGTAATTTGCCAGAGTACAACGATTTGCCGGGACAGCTCCGCTTATATAAATAATATATCGTTATGCGAAAGAACGCATAAGCGAGTAGCGGCGAGAGGAGACGAGGGACTCGTCCGTGTCCGATGCACGTGTCTTTGCAGCGAGTTACGCAAGTGCATCCCGTATACGATACTGGACAGACACGTATGTGAATATGCGTCTAGAACGTGCAGAGCTTGGGAGGAAATCGGTAAACGCGATAGCCGCTCTCGTGACACAGCCTGCACGAGTAGCACGAGCAGTAAGTATAAGTAATACACGTAATATAAGTACAAGTACGTAAGTAATACAATGTCTTTGTTATCGTTGCGACTTGACGCTTTACCGATTCAACTTGTCACGCGCGAAATACTTTTCGTCTCGGCTGTCACGCGGAATGTATAATCATCACTACGACTTTTAAATCATATTTAAATTACATTAATCGTCAGAGTGCTCGAGATGTCGTTCTGCTTTCTCTCGACAGGGTAATGAAATTTATAATAACATTCCTAAAACTTTTGTAATGTTTACAAAGACTATAGTAGTATTTACTTCGCGTAGAACCATTTCTAAACAATTATTTGTGAAATGGATTGAAATCTTAATAATAAATAATACACGAGTCATTTTATTGAAACGTACGTTCAACTTTCAAACAACTGATTTACAAATATAACTCGGTCGATGTAGTCGCATTAAATATAACGATTTTCTTCAAGCAAGTGAACGTTTTAATATTCTTCTCAGAGAATGATATCACTTCGATAACAGTCACCTTTATGTAACGGAATATATTCTAATTCTTTTAGATGCAAGGACTCTACGTTATCCTTGGGGTTTTCTACTTTTGCCACTAGTTGCTAATAACTAATAATAGTTGCAACAGTGGTAACAAGTTTGTGTCTTCTGAAGTTTGATAGTGTCCTTAAATGGTCGAATCTGGACATATTCTTCTTGCAAGTGAAATAAACGTTTCGTCATCTTTAAAATTGCAGAGAAACCAGCAGATGGGCTCCCGGTTAGATAAGAGTTGACAGCAAAGAGTCGGTTAATAGATTAAAAATCGCTAAAGTATTAAAACGAAGATGTTTCTCCACAAGGAGAATATGAACGAGACGTGGCGGCAATGACATCGCTCGAAACATCTTTACGAAGCGGGATATTTCAATTTTTCTAAATGCACAAACCTCAACCTTATCTTTGAAGAGCTTTTCACTTTTGCACCAATCACTAGTTATTAATACCTAACTAGTTGCTAGTTAAAGTTTGATAGCCGCAACGCTTTGGTTATTGGTTGAATAGACGTTCGTCAAAATTGCAAAAAAAAAAAAAAAAAAAAAAAAGCCAACT